ATTCAAAAATCGAAAAGTCCCACGAGAAGAATTTTCCCCCCTACTCACCCAGAATTCGAGTTAACCGTGAGAAAATCGCTATAGGGAGTGAAAATTTCATTCGAGATATCCGGAAATTCGAGATAAGCGAATTTGAGTTAAACGGAGCATTTAACATGGTGTCCTACGGGGTTCCGCCGGGACCAAGCTTTGAACTTTGAGATAAGCGGAATTTCGACTTATCAGGATTCGAGTTAACGAGTTTTCACTGTATTTAAGTTCAAAACACCTCCTTTGACCTCCACCAAGGCTGACAATCTTCCTTATCAGCCATGAACGCAGCGCGCACTTCTTCCAAGCTTTCAAAGAGAGCGCTTCTGAAACTCCACATTTATGTTATTCTTAGTGCAGGCCATCTGCTCCAACTTGGATCAGACACAGTCGTCCAGCCGATTGAGATCGGACGAGAAAGCAGACCATGCAGCAGCCCTCCGAAACTCTTGATCCCTGGCAGGGAGGAGAGGAACAGATGAGAGCAAAAATCAGGGACGTGATACTGGAGACTTCCTAGACCTAGAAGATACCTAGCAAATAAGGCTACGTTGGACCAACGTTGTAGCAACGTTCCGAACGTTTGTTCAATGTTAATTCAACGTTGATTCGACGTTATGTGCTTGAACCACCCTCTTACAAAGGACAAGCTGAAAGGGCGACACGCTGACGACTGCTTTCATGGCGAACCGTCAGTTTTGACGCATGCAAAAGAGATCGTGAAGTGGGTCCTTGAGTTTGCAGAGAATTTCCTAGGAGAAAAGGACGACATCTCGGACAGTGTTCAAGCCATTCCCAACGCTGATGGAAGGGAAAATCCGTTCCCTCAAGATTGCCTAGGCAGAGGATGATTCACTTGTTCCTGGCCGCTGGAGAGCACTTTCCCAGAGAATTGCCGAGTCAATCTGCAAAGCAAGAACACTCGTACAAGAAGGTTTGCAAGTGGGCTAGCTGAGTTTCAGAGGTTCAGTGCCGAACGACACCTGGAAGGTGTAGCGAAAGATCGAGAGCAATATTTTTTTTATGCCGATGAATCTGGATTTCAGCTATGTCCAGGTACTGGACCATCAGCCCTTGAAGAGGAAAAATACGCACGTGACCGCACCGGGATCCGAAAAGGAGCGGGTCACTGTTCTACTTGTATAAAACGTATCGGCAGATAGAGCAGTGGCTTTCCCGATGATCATCTTCCCTCTTCAGAGGATTTCCAAAGACCTGACAGTGTTTCGGATGCAGTAAAAAAACATTTCAAAAGCGTGGAGCACCATGTAAGCAACATGGTAGTTGGGGTCGGAATTCGTATCAGAAGGGTCGGATTTGGGGGGGGGGGGGGAAATGACGTATTTTCGTCGTATTTCGAGCGCTATACGGTAGGTACCATAGTCTTTGATTTCAAAATGTAACCGAGGGGTGAATATAGACTGAGAAAAATTCGGAAGTGGGTCGGATTTTGTCTCACATACCCTAAATATCTGCTTGCTGAATCCCCAGTAATTCCTGTGCTACTGGCACTGTGCCCCCCAACCCCCACCTCATTCGGAAAAATATAAAAAAGAGACCTAAATGTGTGCACGTGAGTGATTTTCGTTCAAAGATACGCTACGATGAAGAGAGGGAATCCCTTTTTCCCACTCTTTTTCACTAAAATCAATGAATTACCAATATCACGACCACTAACATCCATGACCACGAATATGACCACCCCAAGATCACGCGTGATCACCTAAGCCGTGTCACACAGATCCAAACTTGTGGGGTGGACTGGGGTAGGGGAGTCGGGGACTGGGACGGGGAAGGAAGGTGGCTGGGGCAGAGGAGGAGGGGTACTAGGCGAAGGAGCGCGATGTGCGAAGGGCGTCGAAAGTAGTCAGTCGAAACAGAGCGTAGCAAGTGAGGTTTCCAGAATTTTCTTTCCTACGTTTTTGCTTTTGTTTGAGAAAAAAAAGTTCTCACCGTCACGAGCAATTGAATTCCGTTCTTGTCCCTCTAATGAAGAGTGCTCTCTCTATATTCCTGCGTGAATCACGGGTGAACGTGCGTCACGCATGCCTCAACGTGATTCAATCTCGGTTTCCTATAACCAGCAGGAAGTACCTCTCTCATGCCTTGACTCCATCCCTTTCTCACAGCGCCACCTAGCTGAGTTGCCTCTGTTTGCATCGGACTTTTGTTTATACGTAAGGCTCCGCGGTTGTTTACTTAAGGGTTGGGTAGAGGGGAAGGGGAAATCCTTCTCGGGATAATCGAGAGTTCAACGGTGGGGAGGAAGCCTCGTATCCTGTCAATGTGTTCGTGTCATCTAATACAGGCACTTGGTGTAAGGTAACCCGAAAAACAAGTGATAGGCCTACGTAAAAGAGACCGCGTAATTATCTAAGCGCACGACACGAGTCGGATAAGGTTTAGGATAATGGCTAAGGATATGGATTGTGGGTCAGGTAGGACGGATCTCCTGTCGCCAGGTGTGCAGGTGGTCGAATGAATAAAAATGGAAACGGAAAGTGGGAGAAATGAGGAAGAGGAGAGCGGAAGGGGAAAGAGAAGCTGTGCTTTCAGTGGATACTGGATGTTGGGAGTGCTGGCCGTCGCCTTGGTGGTCATAGTGATCCTGGTCGTTTCCTTCTTTCACCTTAAGTCCGCCCCAGACGCTCCTCTTTGCTACGACCCGAGTAAAGACAGGCAGGGGAACTTGCAAAACTTGCCCATGTGCAAGGGCAACCGGTATTTCATCGGTGGAGGCACGGAGATGGGGAAGTGCCCAAAGGGAACCTTCAAAGACTACGATGGGGTTTGCCAAAAAGCTTTCTACTTCGATGAATAACACCCATCCCTGTGCTGCTTCTACCCGGTTAATTTCCTCTTACTTGCCAATCGCCATTATTTATTTTCACTTTTGAAGCGTCGAAATGAGATTGTGATTTGTGATCCTGGAATAAATATATCGTACGAAGGTATCTGAGAGAAATGCTTTTCATATCACGACACGGAGGATCACTATGAAAAACTACTCCGCGTCATGCGTTGAAGATGGTGCAACAAATGACGGAATAGTCTGGTGCCCTTTCGATGGGGCACGACTTGGAATTAGGATTGGATACCGAGAAGGATATGAGGAACTTCCCTGTGTTGTCCCCCCTCTGCCATCTCGGTCGTTCTGCCACTACCTCCTCCTCCTTCTGCATCAACTCCTCGGCAGGTTCGAGTCGCTGGGGCTAGGGCGTAGTTGCACATGAGGATGCAGACAAGGTTACGCGTCCCCTTCCGTACCCTCTCATCTCCTTCCCGTTCATCATCCTCCTTTGCCAAGAAATGAATCATATAGGGCTACGGTTCTCAACGGCGCATTTTTCAGGCAGATGGGTATAGGTGGTCCCCCTGCATATCCATGGGCCTCCATGCTCAATAATGTCGGACCAACTAAAATTGAGAATGCCAGGACCTCTGAATTCATTTGTGAAACATTTATTTTGGATTGTCACTTGGTAAGATGATCAATTTAAGAAAATTAATACTCTTAATTTTTGTTAATTTCACTTCAATACGAAACCTGGGCCTGCCTCTGGTTGCTCAGAAAAACAGGATACCGCTCAATATCTGAGATGACCCCTCGTATATCATTTGCCATGTTTAGCTGAACATTTTTTTTATATCCTCAGAATAGGAGAAGATAGACACGCATATTTGGTGGCAAAAGTAGTTTGAATGTTCAGCAACAACACTTATCTTTTCTTCCTCAATAGATGATCTTAATAAAAGTTCACATCAGGAGTACCTTGAATGAAGTTTTGATGAAAATACTCATTACGTACTTCTGGTACACATTTTCATCAAGAAGGTTGAAGTCAGAAGTGTCATACTTTGAAAACGGTTCTTCAGAAGAGGTTAGCTGTCCACTCCATTCAATGCTCTTCGTTCCTGGAAAGCCTTAAGGAAGTAAATTCGGTCGATGAGGTGAAACGAGAATGAGAAGATCCCTTTTCATGCGCATTCCCCATTTTTATGGGTGCGGCGTTATTCTTTGTTTTTTTTTCTTTCTCGTGGCACTCATGTGGCGCTTTCATGAAG